GGGTTCAGGGTTTAGGGCTTTCATACAGTGAGGGGATTTTGAATACGCAGCACCCATGGAAAAGGATGCAAGTATTATCAATTAACTCTTAGGTTTGGGTTGCCGAATTCGGATCCCCAGAATGCTTAGGGCCTCTGAAAGCAACCTATTTTGAGAACCCCAAACCCTAAACCTTAAATGGACCCTAAACCCGGAAGCCAACAAATCCCTGTAACTCCTTTGGAGGGAACCATCGGTGGATGCAAAAACTCCTGGATGACCTTGCGCAGTACACTAAACTAGCATATTTGTCATGGTTGAACAGTACTCAATGTGTCATGGCTGAAAAGTACTCAAGGTCCTAAACCCTAAACCCTAAGCCCTTAACCCTAAACCCGAATCCCTAAACCCTAATCCCTAAACCCTTAACCATGCGGGTGCTTTAGCATCACCAGCCCCAAGCTCTAAACCCTAAACCCCTAGGCCCCAAGCCAAAACCCCTAAACTCCCAAATCCCCAAACACCCAAGAAACACTAGGTTCCCCAGTAATCCCACAATAATACGGGTGCCCTTTTTCCTAATATTCAGCTTTAATAAGGAGATCCCCAATATAACAAGGGAAAAAGGCTAGAACAGGAAACCCCTAAACCCCTAAACGCCGTTGTCAGCAACCCCGGCATTTCAAGTATCTAACAATCGTATACTTTCCCCAAACCTGCATTAGTAGTACTATTACCCTAAACCTTAGCAGGTAACTCTGGGGCACTTGGACCCTCTGGGCCTCACTGCCCTGAACCCTAAACCCCTAACCCTACACCCCACATCCCTAAACTTTAAACCCTAAACTTAAATCCTAAACCCTAAAACCCTAACCCAGAACCCCTCAACCCTAAACCCCTAAACCCCTGAACCCCCTAACACTACACTTAACCCTAAATCCCTGAACCCTACATCCCACCTCACAGCGCTTGGGATGAAGTCGTCGTAGAGCAGGTTGAGCCCCGCAGACATCAGGGACTGTACCATGTCGCACTTTACCTTGTTTTGGGTTCTGGGGGGGCATATGTACCACAGTCTAAACTCCTTAAAAGAGGTTATAGGGGATTATATAGGGCACTACAATAGGGGTTCTTAAGGGGGATACTAGGAGTTTAGACAATGGCTCACATCAGGATTAGATAGGGTTATGTAGGGATCATATAAGGTTATACAACGAGTAGACAGGGTTATGTAGGGTTTTCAGGTTGTAGGATTTAGGCTTTCGGGGTTCAGGGATTATGAGGATTTAAGGGCGCACTTGACCTTGCTTCGGCTCTAGGGCCTTAGGAGAATTGGGGTTTAAGGGCTTCAGGCTTTTTTTAGGGTTTAGGCTTTAGACCCAAACCCTAAACCCTTGTGGATTTGGGGGCTCAGGGGCTTACAGGATCTTCCGTGTGAGACCTGGCCTCGGCGCACGCGCACTACCCAGGCCCCCTACACCCTACCTCTTTTTGGGGGTACCTAACTTTATATCGAGTATCTTCTATATACCCTAAACCCTAAACCCTAGCTACCCTAAACAAGGGTCCAATCTAAGGGTCTAGGTAGGTCTGAATACAAAGAAGGCTCCAGTTGGGAATAAGTGCGGGAAGACCTGCACTTTTGAGGATTCTTGGCGTCAACTCACATCCTAGCGCTACCCTCTATACCCCAGGTCCTACACCCCAAACCCCGAAGCTAAACCGTAGACACTAACCCTCGAGTTTCTAGTCCAATGCCTGAAACCTCACAAGAAGCAGGGCTAGAAGATCTTTGGGGGGACGCCCGCAAATAGGACAGACCCCCTAAGAGGGACCTTCCTGGGTTTAGAATTTGGGGTGTAGGCTGCAGGGTTTAGGGTTTCAGGATTCAGGGTCTAGGCGTTTAGGGTTTTGGGGACCCTGAAAGGGACTTGTGACCTGTTTTTCTTGGAAGGCCTGTCCTCTCTCTGGAGGCCACTGGAGATCTCCTGTAAAAGCTTGAAAACATATATCATTTTTGAGGTTTATTGGAGGGGTACCCTGTACCCAGTTCTGCAGGGAATCTAGAACCATACCCTAAACCCTTAACCCATATTGACTATCATTTAGGATCCTGTATTACCTGAGCAACCTCAACCCTAAACTCCAAACCCAGCCGAGCCGCCCGGAAGAGGAAAGTTCGACTGAGAAGTGCGTCCTTCAGAGCATGGAGGTGCGTGTGACTTAGGCTTAGGGTTTGGGGGTTTGGCGGTTAGGGGCTAGGGTTGAGGCGCTTTGCTTGCGACCTTCCTAGGAAGTGCAAAGATAACCCGCTTCTGAAAAATAGAACTGGCATGCAAGATAGGTTTCGAGCAACACGTCCCTCCAAGCTGCGGTGACCGTAAGGCGCTTTCAAAGTGCTGGGTCCCTACTTGGGGTGGAATGAAATACGTAGGGCTCCGTGGTTTGCGGGTTAGACATTAGGAGGGGTTAACACCCTATACCCTTCCTTCTTGAGAACCCTGTCAGGTTGGTCCTTGAGCTCCACATAGCCACCGCGCTGGAGAACCATCTTACCTCGGCATTCGAATGTGCATGCGTGGTTTTTGTTACGGTTTACGTTTTCGAGGTCCTGCCAGGGCAATGAGAGTCTGGTGAATCGTTGCACAAACCTTGGTGCGGGCGCGATGCATGAGACCTACGTAATGTTGGCCGAACAACATTGATAGAAAGCTGGCCTTTGGTTAGCTGGGAGTAGAGGACTTGCGAACAACTGATAACTAAAGGGAATCAATCCGAACCCCCGACAAGGAACCCTTAGAACATGCTGGGAATAGAAGACGAATATACTTACCATGGTCCTTATATCCCTGTCACATTCCTACTATGCTATTGGGGTTCCCGGCTTTGGGGTTCCAACTAATATCCCTTTAACACCCGAGGCAAGTTTCCGCTCTCGGCGATCTCCTTCCAGGTTGGCAGCAGGGCCGCGATGTTCTCGGCCTGCTCTTAGGGTTTAATTTCTAGGCTTTAGGGTCTTAGAGTCTGATGATAAGTTGATGGTCTAATGTGGGCCCTCCATACATTACTATATAAGCTATATGTACACTGAAGGGACTCCCCCAGAAGGCCAAAGGGCCCAAATTTGGGGCCCATACTTCTGACCTTAGAGATGGACGAAATCTTGCACCACCCTAGGTCCCATAGTCCCTGGCAATTACAAAGCAGTACAGTGTTTAGGGTTAGGGTTTAGGGTTTAGGGAGAAAGACATCATGCAGGCAAGCCCGCTGCAAAATGAGCATTGTCACAGATGAGCACTCCGAAGTTTTCTCAGATCAAGTTGGAAGCAGCGAAACTGAATAATGCGGTCTGTAGGGGTCACATGGGGACATGAAGGGTTTAGGGCTGGGGAATATCACCCGAATAGTATGGGCATGAGCCACCTGTCAATGTCCGAGACTGGTAGCTTACTCAGATGAAGACTATCCCGCTCAGGACTTACTTGCTAGGGCCCGTTCAACAAGAGATTCTCGTCACTCGAACCATTCTGTAGAAAACACACAAAAATGGCCCACAACCCTACAAATCTCTAAAAGACCCTGTCTTCACATTGCTTAAGGCTTTCACCCCTGCTTCAGCATCCAAATTCTCTATGCGCCTGGGAAACCGCTTTTTTCACGGTCTCGTTGCTGTCCTGGCGCTCAGACCCAAAACTGAGTTTAACACAAGTTCGAAAACTCGCGTCCAACGCACGGACCAGCGTGCAGAACCACTTAGTCCCCTTCTTACATTCAGGAGAACAAGCACCTTTTGGTAATGAAAATGATCAGGCCAACAAGTTGAGAATGGAAAACTTGACAGTGGTTAAGCATGTGGTTTCGGGCTCAGGGATTAGCGTCCAGGGTTTGGGGCGTAGGACTTGGCATGTAGGACTTGGGGTTTCGGATTTTGGGTGTCGGTGGTAGAGGGGCATGCAAGACGAATTGAGGGAAAGCCAAGTATTTCCGTGATAAGCACATCCGAACTCCTTCACGCATGGAACCTCAATGCTCGTAAGTTCTCACTTACTTCCCCTCTTCCCCTGCCCAGACCCTAACCTCTCTAGACGGTAGCCCCCTCAGACTTATAATAATATAGAATATAAAACTACTATTTCCAATAACTCCTTAGGGTTAAACTATAAAACGATTGAACAATAGTTCCTAAGAAGACTTCCAATAACCCCTTAGGGTTAAACTATAATACGATTGAACAATAGTTCCTAAGGAGACTACCGTAGATCTTACACCCCTAACGCGGAGCACTCTAAACCCTGAACCCCGCATCCCTTCCCGCTACCCAGACCCCCGGGAGGATCT